ATTTTGCTGGTGGGCATGTAGATTATTATAACCCTTATCACAGCAATTTGAAGTGTATATGCAAAGTTTTTAGATTCATATCCTTTCCCTCAACAATTTCTATCTATGAATTTATCCTAAGGGAATAGTTGACATATACAAAGAATGTACAGGAATAATTATACTAGCAAAATTTTATAAATAATCTAAATTTCCGATAATATAAGATTCCTCAACCATATTTTGGTACATTCATAAAATAAAATACTAGAGTCATTAAAATTACATTATAGAATATTTTTGACACAGGAAAATGTACTTGATATATGGTTTTGTGAAAAAGGCAAGATTCAAAATATTAGTATACAATACGACACCACCTTCATAAAAAAATATTTGCTTCCTGAAAGGGCATATAATAATAAATTAACGGTAGTTATTTTGGGTAGTGAGAATTATTGGCCGTTTTCTTTGTGCTTCTCTGAGTGATCCCCACTTTCTGATTGAGCATATATTTATTTTGTAATTATAAAAATTATTTTAAAAAGACTCTCCTATTCAACAGTAGGAGAGTACTATTGAGAGTATAACAATAGTCTCCTATTCAAAACTAGTCTCCTATTTTTCACTGCTACAGTCTCTCCTTATCTCTCACCTATATCCTCTTCCCTCATCCTTCACCACCTCACTGGGCTTCCTGCCCTCAACTCCAGCCCCTTCAATCTCCTGCCACAGTGGCCAGAGTGTGTCACTCACAATCCAAGCATGACACTCCCAGGCTCAAAAGTCTGGACCATTATGACCACATTTCTTAACACAACCTGAAGCCCTTCATGGTCTGCAGGCTTCTCTCTTACCATAGGGCTGGCCTCTCCCTCTGCTCCAGTTCTCAGTTCCTGGTGGGTCCCTGCCCCTGAGCTGCCTTTTCTCACATTCCTCTCCTGCTTGGAGCGTCCTTCTTCTGGATCTCTTAGCAGACCTGCCCTTCAAGTCCCAGGAGTGGCTTTCTGGCTGTTATACCAGCAGAAGCCTCTGCTGGTGCATGTTCCACACTGGGCAGTCCTACTTTGTTCACTTTTTGCCGAGAGATCCTCAAAGGCATGGCTTGGCCCTTCACTGTAACCACATTGTCCCTGACACATGTAAATACTCAGCAAAGTTTTGTTGGGTGGTACACACAGATAAACTCCCTTGGGCAGAGTCACAATTAGACTTACAGATCTCTCCATTTTGTGAAAGCCGCACAGCCCCACTTGGCCACCTGTCTTCAAGTACAGACACAGGAGACTGTAATAAGCATGCATAAAAACATTCCAGTAGGCAGAGCCCACAGGCAGCCTCAGGGCCTTTGCAGTTTCTGATCACTCTGCCTGGAACCCTATTCTTTCAGTTCTTCACATGGCTATTTCCCACTCACCTTTCCAGTCTCAGCTCAATGTCACCTTGAAAGAGAGAGCCCTCTTTCATTACTTCTATTTAAGTAGCTCTCCCTGGTTACTTTCCATTTCCAGCACCCCGTTTATGTCCTTTACACAATTTGGGACAACTTACAAAACTCTTATTTATTTCTTGATTATCATCTATCTCTCCCCATCTCCTACCCTGGTGGAGTAGGAGGGCACTATGAGGGCAGGATCTCGTATTACTTTATATATATCATGATAAATTCCATGCCTAAGCAAATGAATCACACACACACACACACACAAAGCCACAAATAATTACAAACACATAATGACAACCACACACTGTCAGTGATCCAGACACCCACAGCCGTACACTCTGGACTGCCCGCCCCCCAACCCCCGCCCCAGCTCGCCACTTACCGGAGTCACAAACCTGTTGGCTTCCCAGGCCCACAGAGGTGGGTCCTTATAGCCCTCCTTGATGGAGGTAGGATCCCTGTAGGAGTCACTGTAGGTGCTGATGGGGGTCTTAGTCTTATGGGAAAAGAGGAACATAGTGGGGTCTAGGGGATGCCGTGGTGGGCTCTACCTACCAGGGGCTCCTGCAATACATCAGTGACCACCCAACCCCCTTTCCCAGACAGCTCGGCAGGTGCCCCAGCTGCTGGGACCCCCCTCCTGTGGAGGATCTCCCAGCTTCCTTCCCTCACAGCCTTCTTGCTCCTACCCCACCCTGATTCCCTCTCTAGGATGGGCAATGCCCATTATGATATCACCTGGCTCAGCCCCATCCCTGGAGAGGTGAAGAGGTCTGATTTCCTCCCTACCCCAGTCTCTTCCTGCCTCAAGCCTCTCAAAACAGCCCAATTTCCAAGAGTTCACAAGGTCCCTGGAGATCTTCTAGGCGAAGCTTCTCACTGTGATGAAGAGAAACAGAGATTCTGAGGGGTCAAGTGAGTCATCCAGAGCCGTTGCAGCTGGTCGGTGGCAGGCCTAGCCTGGGAACCCACAGGTGGAGGTAGGGTGAAATGCGCGTTCAGAGGATCGGTCCTCTGCCCTTCCCGGCCCATCTGCCCCTTGCCCGCACCCCAGGTAGGGAGCTGAGGCTGGCTTGTTTGATGCTTTTAATATCATTATTTGTGTTACACGATACACAACCAAGGATGATGGTCAATACTGCGATGGAAATGTTAAAAAAAATTTTATACACGGCTCATGTCTTCCACACACCTTCCTGGAAATAAATTAGTGAGCACGGAGAAACGGCTGGCTGGCAGCCAGAGCTGAGGGTAGAGGGAGTGTTAAGGCAGTATCTACAAGGGGCAAGGGTGGCAGGGCGCAAACTAAGGCCTCGATTCCTCCCCTCCAACCTCCCCAACAAGGAAGGAGGGAACCATGCACTTTCCCTAGACCCAGAAAGTGCTGGCTGCCAGCTTCGTACTTCTCTCTGCTACACTCGCTACACTGCCTCAGCTAGAAGCCCTTGCCTGCCAGGGAATTAGTTATATCTTGTGGGGAGGGAGCCTTTCCCTTATTCCTCAGGGCCAGAGAGGTTGAGCAGTGGGCCAGAGTCACACAGCATGTCAGCAGCAAAGGCAGCAGTCTAAGTGTGCCTTGGCGGGGGCCCTGCCTGGAAAAGAGGAGGTACCCATGTTCTCGAAGGGTGAGTCAAGGAGGCCGGGGGTGGTGGTGGTAGTGGTAGTAGGAAGCTTGGTTTTGGGGCCCAGATGACGGGGGGTGGGTATGCTGACCGGGGCGGGGTGGGGGGAGAAACAGGCTCAGGTGGGGGCCAGTACGGGCCGTGTGAGTCCTGCAGGTGTCTTCTCCGTCCTTGCCTCCCTTTGGCATTTTCTCATCATCTAACTGGGGTCCCTGCACTGGAGGAGTTAGGCGTGAGTTGGAGGAGTTGAGGGTGGAGAGCTGCACCTCAGCACTCAGGAGCTGGCAGTCCCTGGGTGTGGTGCAGGGAGAGGTGCTACCCCTCCTAAGCCAGCAGCCTTACTCTCTCTTCTCACTGCCCTCACCCCCTTCCAACTCCCACCTCCCAGGACTGGCAGCCAGGAACTGGGCTGTGTGTGTGTCCTGTGCACGCTGGCAGCATGTGAGTGGTATATATTAGAGTGGATTGGCCAGCACGTGGGGGAGGTCAGCATGGAGGAGTGGCCCTGGGATACGGGGTTTGTGCGGCATAGACCTGACCAGGCGTGGGCTATCTGTGCTTTTGCTTTCCTTCGCACGGGGCAGATCTATACTGCCCAGGCCCAGGGGAGGGCCTTGGTCACCTTCTCCCTCTTGATTTTCATCCTCAGCTTTTCTAGCCACCACCCCCACCCCTGCCACCACCGAGAAACAGCAGCAGAAGCAGTAGTACATACATTCTGACTCTCAGACGCCCACACAGCTACACACACCATAGATACTCACATACACGTGCACATCCACAGACACACACTCACACATTTCCCAAAAGATCCGATTGTACTCAGGCATACACAGGTCCCACAGGAACTTCCCCCTCTCTTTTCCACCATAGGAGGAAGCAATGAATGATGTGCAACTCAGGAAGCCACCAGAGATACTCAAAAGACAACACAGAGACCTCCTTATCCACCTCCACAGAAATTCCTATGAAGAAATTCCTTCAGGTTTGGAAGAACCTTAAAAATAATTTCAGATGCTGCTCATTGTACAGTGGAGGGAACTGAAAGCCAGAGAATATAAATGGCTTGTTGGAGGTAACGGGGAGAGTGCCGGAGCCTTCTGACCACCAGCCCACTGCACTGCTGAGCAGCCTCTCACACTGTTAACAGGCCACACAGTCACTTCCCCACCGCGGACGCCACAGACATCTGGAGACACAGGCCCAATGCAGAGATGTAGACACACACCCTCACAGCCCCAGGCACACACACGTTCTGCCAAGCTATCCCTGCCATACACATGCAGCCACTGTATTCTCTTAGGCTTGCTTCCTTGAAGATTCTTCCTCTGGGATCTTGGGCTAGAGTGAGACCAGAATGGGGCATTCGAGGCCAGCCTTAACTCCTGCTTCCAGCCCGGGACAGAGACCAATGAATGGAACAGTAGTGTAAGTGTGTGTGTGTGTGTGTGTGTGTGTGTGTGTGTGTGTGTGTGTGTG